TTTTTGCTAATGCTTTAAATTTCACAATGGTAACACAGTGCCCAGATTGGTGAAGAAAAGATAAAGAAGATGTATAAAAGGGATTAGGGCTGCAACTAATGACTATTTTCACTGACGCATCAGTGATCATTTTTTTTGATTAATGGACTTGTCAGGCGAGATTTTTAACTTTTATAAAAAGGTTGAAATACAATGACTGAAAGCTTTTAAATAGAGAATATGTGCAAACGAAATGTATTATTGAAGAAAGTATGAAACTGTATTCATTTTTTTACTTTTTTAACTGAATAATCATTGTTTTTGTTATTTAAAAAATTATTTTGGCATTTGTTTTAGAGACTATAGAAAATGATAATTATCAAAACTCTTATGATCATCTGGTGTTGACATCTACGGCAACTGAATTTGGGTGAGCAAATATAGAGCTAAATGTACATCTGTATTAGGTAATGGTTTGATCGCATGGGCAAGAATTGAATTTGGGTGGGCTTACCTTTTCTGATTAAGGGTGTTGTCTCCATGGCAATTTTACTGCTTTGCCTGGAAGGTTTCACAGTATAGCATTAAAATGCTCCATCTACAGTTTGGCAGGAAGGTGACATACACAGGCCAAATTATAGGTGAAATTTGTGCAAAGGTGACCCTGCTCACAGTAAGAATGCATGTTTAATAAGGTATTTTTTGGCAATAAAAAGACCTTTTATGCCATGCGGTGAAACATTTCCAGGTAAAGTAATAACATCTCCATGGAAACAAGCAGGTAATGGACACATCCACTGAAAAAGTTGCATAGTGCACCTTTAATGTATTCAGTTCTCTAACATTGTTTGACCAACCTTGTAGCCAGTAGACATTAGAGTATAGGCTAAGTGCGTATTGCTATAGTCGGTGCATTAGAATAAAGATTAGGAAAAAAGACAAACACAGTATCAGCCACTATAGAAAGTGTATTTTGTTTTTTTAACAGTAGAACATATGGCGCTGTCAGGCCTGGTTGTACATTGCTCAGTAAAGCAGCACTAAAGTCTGCTCCAAATGAGGTCAAACATCAGCGCTCCTCTGCAAAAACAAGAGTGAAGTGACTCTATAGCTCCACTGAGTCAGACTCATGTTTATTCAGAAAAGCACCTTTAAAAACAGCTGTTAACCACTGGAATCTCATTTTTAGAATCTCATTTACATCAACAAAAAATTAATCCCTCAACTCCAGAACTGTTATATTTTTGAGCTGCAGCTGGGATCTTAATGGGAAAATGCAAGTTAACAGATGAAAGTGGTTCTTTTAGGAGCTGAGGTTCACAGTGAAAGGAGCCGGGCTGAACAATTTGGGAAAAATAGCAATTTTTTTTCAGACAAGCTTTGAGGTTGTATTTGCAATTTATGTTTTAATAATAGAATTTTGTTCAAAGTTCACATTTCAATTTTAATCACGTCCAGAAGAATTGACAAAAAAAGACTGAAATGAACTGAAAAACTAATGCAAGAATCATATTACAGAACATGTTTGTACACATGTAATCTACAGCGTTAAGATCAATTTAGGGTCATGCATTAAATTGTATTTGTCGCCTTGAACCCCCTCCACAGAGCGTCTGCGTGCACCTGCACCTTCGAATTTTTGTAACTATGACTCGAACCGACACAGACAGCAAGGGGAAGCGACGCAGACATAAGGGCTGTGAAAGGTCCTCTCTACCACTGCTCTACATACACTTCCAGTACTCCGTTTTGCCACCTCATTTTGGATACAAGAATGCCATCTTTAAATCCTGGCCTCCTAGCGTTGTGGCGGTGATTACTTCGCCGTGCATAGACCTGTACGCAGATCCATAAATAAAAACGACGATGACAGTGTGCGTTGAGTCAATGCAGAACTATAAAACAACCTTTAGCAGTTTTATTATGATATTAATTAAATTTGTCTTTGCGAGTTGCCAATTATGCCCATTCAAATTAAGAACTTAAATTCAATTGTGAACACTGTTGGATTACCGGTCTAAATCATGATTTTGATTGTACAGTCAGATTGTCGAACTGCAGCTAACAATGATTTTGATCACTGATTAGTATGACAATTACTATTTCAGAAATTCCCATGAATAAGATCTTTACTAAATTTAACCTAAACCTAAAGCTTGAAGATGTCTTGATTAAATAAAGTCCAGTATAATATAAACAAATGATTCAGACTGCTTATTAGAATCGTTAACAGTTGTTGAAATCATACATTTTATTAAATGAATCAAAACTGTATATAAAATGTTTTCTACACAAAGTGACTTCTTCTGCCATCTCTGCATGGCAACATTTTAGTCCACTGAAAAATTAAAAAATGTGAAACATGCTTCTGTTTTCTCCCTACAGCATCACACTATTTTTACACATAAATCTATAGAGCAGAGTACAGCAGCCACAGCTCAGAGCATCAGCTGGATTTCAACCATCTCAACCTCACATTCACAAGAACACAAGAACACAAGGCTCTCATGTCCACTGGGGCCTGTACAGCTCTCCTCTGCATGTGGTTGTGTGTGTGTTTGCGTGTGTGTGTGCATGTGTGTGTGCATGTGTGTGTGCATGTGTGTGTGCATGTGTGTGTGCATGTGTGTGTGCATGTGTGTGTGCATGTGTGTGTGCATGTGTGTGTGCATGTGTGTGTGCATGTGTGTGTACATGTGTGTTGCTTTGTGCCTTTTCTGTGATTTCTGTGGCCCAGAATCCTGGAACAATGTGGACTCAAAAAAGACATTCTCTGAAGTGTGGAGTGTGTTATCTGCAACAGTAAGGCTGCCACTCTGCAAATGTGCTGTGACTTAAGAGCGTGCACGAGGGAGAGGAAGAGTGTGCACGAGGTAGAGGAGAAGTGTGCATGAGCGAGGAGTGTGCACAAGGGAGAGGGAGGAGAGTGCACGAGGGAGGAGGAGTACGCATGAAGGAGAGGAGAAATGTGCACGAGGGAGGAGGAGTACGCATGAAGGAGAGGAGAAATGTGCACGAGGGAGGAGGAGCACGCATGAAGGAGAGGAGAAATGTGCACGAGGGAGAGGAGTACGCATGGAGAGGAGAAATGTGCACGAGGGAGGAGGAGCACGCATGAAGGAGAGGAGAAATGTGCACGAGGGAGGAGGAGCACGCATGAAGGAGAGGAGAAATGTGCACGAGGGAGGAGGAGCACGTTCCTCCTCTCTCATGCACGAGAGAGGAAGACTGTGCATGACAGAGGAGCGTGCACAAGAGAGGAAGAGTGTGCATGAGGGACAGGAGAAGTGTGCACGAGGGAGAGGAGCGTGCACGAGGGGGCTTATAAGCAGCAGCAAGATGTTGTTTGGATGAGGTAATTTCAGTTAAACTAAACTCTGAATCACAATGGTCACATTGGCAAATTGCAGAGACTGACATTTTTTAAAACTATAATGTTCTCCAAAATATTCCATCTCAATGAGGTTTCATAAAACATGTTGTGAAATAAATACACGGGATTCTTGGATTAGTTTAGAAAACTCTGAAGTTTCTTTGCAACAGCACTTTGCTCAGAAGTAGGTCAGGCTTCCCCAAATCTCAAAGTAGCAAACTGTGGCACTAAAATGCTTACACATGTTTAGACCATAGAAAACCAAAAGCTGAGAAAACATGACCACCACCTCCAGAAAGTGCATATTATCATTGTGTCTTTGTGCAAGACATTTCACATATCTTGCCATTGGTGGTTCAAGAGATCATTATTTCAGGGCAGACTGGTGTCTGTCCCAGGGCAGCTGTGGCTACAATGCCTTACTGCCACTGAGAGTGGAACGAGAGAGAATAAAGCAACATAAAGCAATTGGACATCCAAAGAGCACTAAAAAACACAAGGAAATCTTCTTGTTAGTGAAATGCCAAGTGAGCTCCTCTCTTCACGTTTATTGTTCAGATATAATGACATTGGCATTTCAGAGGTTCCTGTTAAAAGAAAGTGCTTCCTTGCCATTTGTTGTAAGTAGGCTACAGTAGTGTCCTTGATCCTCAGTCCAAAACATCCCACTCCTCTCCGCTCTGAGCTGATCCATTCGGGACAGCTTCAGAAAATACGTTCTCTCCATCGCTTTGTTGCATTCTGTTGCGTTTTGAGCCAAACCAATCAGGGGCCAGAGAGCGCATACCCAGGGACACACCTCTATTTGACATTGACACACATTTGAGACGCTCCCGTAGCGCGCAAGATCCAAAACAACCCCCCACAGCGCTGCTTATAACCCGAAACTCAACACTGCCAATACTCAGAAGTTACTCTCGCGAAATTAACCGAGAGCCGTCCTATGCAACTGATAAGCTTCAAGCCGCTATTCTTTGGGGAGGTCTCCATAGTCTTTGCGCGCGCCCACAAAGGAAGAGCGTACCCCTTTCAGCCGAAATACAAGAACACGAGGCTGTCCAGAGGAGGAGAAAGAGGGGAGAGACTGGCAGAGGAGGGGAGGAGGGGGGCATACACGATTCAAGTTCACGCTAGTGTCAATACTGGCCTATATTCTGTCAGTATAGTCGCATTTGAGACGCGCAGATGAGTTGTCATGCCTAGCTCGGTTATCGTCATGGTATGGAGAGAGGAGAAGAGGGGAGAGGAGAGGAGGGGGAACAAAGAGCCGCTGGCGATCGCACATGTGCACGTCAATATAACACGCACAGTCAGGAAAACAATCACTTTGAAGCACGCAAATTAGGGACGTTTTAAAGTATTATGTTCCGAAGCAATGTTTTAATATTCAAATCCTGCGGGGCTTATATTGCAGTTTTGCTCTGAACACTGCTTGGGTTGGAATAAATTCTTAACAGACAAGAATCACTAAGAGATTAAGTCGTGCAAACCAGATAAAAAGACGCACATAAAGAACTAGATCAAAATCAACCCTCGAACAACTTGGTTTTTTTGTGCCAAATTCAAAAATGACAACAAGCGTACTGCATTTAAAGACAGAGCAATGCATATGCAATAGTTTTTAAATAATTAAAAATAGTAAACTTACCTTTGTGTGGATAAATCACTCAATAAAACGCGAGTCTAATCCGGAGTGCGCTCGCTGTTTTTTATGTTCCCAAAACTGTTCTTCTAACGTTGCCAACACAGTCGCTTCTTCAATTCATTCGTTTTCCTCCGCCTCCTCTCTGTGTTAAACGCTGCTCAACGCCGTGGTTCCTTTCTCTTCCACTCTGCTCCAAAGAGTTGTTTTTTCTCCTTTCTCCACCAGGAGGAAATTTCTGCACGGAGGGAAAATATGGAACAGTCAATCACAAGCTGCAGACGAGAAGAAGCAAGCGCTGGAGTTGTAGGGGTACCGAACAGTGTTATGAAGATTTTATCAATTTCAAAGTAAAATGTGTGGTTTATTTTGATTATTTTCGTAAAAGGATAAAAATCTGATGTTGCTGTGTTAATTTGGGTTGTAAAATGTTTGGCTGTGCGAGCAATTTGTGCGTAAAACCTAGATTAGCGTCTCAATCGGATCCCCCCATTTTGAGTGCGCGTTGGTACAGTCCAGATTTGTGCATGTGGAGTAGAAGGGGGGCAAACCGGAGTATTTTCGCCTCTTTTGGGCCCCCACGAGCAGGTAAATAAGCGCACCTGCGAGATCAAAAGCGGTCAGGGTGGAGGGAAACGGGAGAAACACGGGGGGGCGGCGGTCAGAGGCTTCCAAGGAGTCCGGGAATGAGCGCGCATCCGCCGGCTCCGCAGTGGTCCAGACTCGGGCTTGTTTGTCTATGACCTCCAGGGGGGTCATTCTAAGAGGCAACGCGCGCTCCCAAGGTCCTCACAAGTAATGCACGTAATGTCGGTCATGCTCCAGACGCACAGATGGCTTATGGGATTTCTATTCAATATGGAAGATATTTTAAATTACGCAAGGACCATACATAGGGTGACAGGATAAAAAAAATAAAAAATGGGACACCCCCGGTTGTGGTAGTTGGTAATAATAAAATTGTGAATAGTGCGTAATTAAGGAAAACTGTTCTGCACTCGGCCCATTCATGAGTCAGTATAGTCACATTTTCTTAGTGTTTTGCTCGTTTTTAAGCCGCTTTTCTGTATTTTACCTCAACAAATACAATGTATGCCTCGCTTTGCTGTTGGCATGTATCGGATTGGTTAAAAATAGGGACACCTGGGACATTTATTGTATAAAACTGGAACAAATGAATGGTCTTGATAAACCCATTGGGAGAGGGGACACAAGGCTCAAAACTGGGATTGTCCCGGGTAAATAGAGACATCTGGTCTCCGTACATTGTTTCCTTAGTGGCAGTTCTTATCCTTTATATACTCTGAACTGGGCCATATGAATAAATAAAGCAATAATTGTTGTTCCACATAGTATTTCATTTTTGTAGTTAGTTATCTATCAGGGGTAAGTGAGCATAAATAAAACTGACCCTATCAAAATGAAAAAGAGAACCACTGTTGGACTACACACAGTAGGACTGCATGAAGATTGCTAGATAAAGAGCTTTATTTAGGACTTTTTTTTAGTATTGATACTTGCTGAAATGAGTATCTAGTTTTGATATAAATTTTAGTATCGATTAGGATCTGAGTTTTGACACTTTTGACAGCACTAATTGTAATGTCATCTGAAAAGCCTTCTCCAAACCAGAAGCTCCCTCCTCAGAGCAGTGTGAGTGAACAGACTTGGTGTCACAGTTTCTCTCAGATTTACCTGTTTAGCGATGATGATTGTTCAGATTCTGTTGCTCTTTTGTGACATTTCACCACGAGGGCCTTCACGCAGGAGCACATGGAAATTTTAAGTATACAACCAATTGACTGCACCAGTGTTTTCCAGGAAACAGTCCAGACTGCAGAAGAACAAGTACTTTATTGTATGTTTTCTAAAATGACATTATTACTTATATGTTTTATGTAACACTTTTCCAGACACTCAAGGCCACTTTACAATTCATTCTCTCCCCATACTCTGTGGCAGTCAGTCAAAGTTCAATAAAACATCATCAGAGTAAAAAGAATCTTCAAAGATTTTGGTCAAGACAGAGTTTAGAAATAGGCTTGTAATTATTTACTTTACTTGTATCGTCACCTTTTAACAAAGTCAGTCACATTTTTACTGAAAAGTCTCAAATTAAGTTTTTTTTTTTTTTTTTACTTTTCAGTAAAAAATTGATTTAAAGGCTCTGCCATTTAATCTGTAGCCATCTGGACGGGCCATGTTTATGCCCAGAGTTTTCAGTTCAAAACAACTTCACCAATGGACATTATCAGAGTAAAGTCAAAAATAAAGTTTGCAATGTATTATAGTAAAAAACATGTAACTGAATGAATGCAAGATTTAAGTTAATGCCATACCGTGGAACATTACAATAAAGAAAAAGCATGAAAGAGTAGCTTTTAGTTAAAGCACAAATACATGAGATTTGTAGCACTACAGGGCATCTGACATTATTCACAGTAGGTTTACATAACTCAGGTCACATCCTGGTGACTGTGAGTCTCGTTCGGAGCTGTTTTTAGAATCAGTCGAGCGAAAAATGAGCAAATGACAAAAACATTCACTGGATGTAGAGCTTATGTCAGACACTAGTGACTCTGCTCAGAAATCCATTTAATGCATGGGCAGCGTCAGATGAGTTGGCAGCGGGTTGGGTTAATTTTTACTCCAAAGTGGGAAATTTAGCACAATCTCAAAGGCTGGGTATGTAGCCTGTGCTTTTACTTGTTTTACTTGTACTATAATCACAACTGAAACTTCCAGAGCTTTGACCTGCAGACAGAGGATACAAGTTTTTCAAATTTTCAGCATGTAGACCAGCCATACCTCATGTGAGAACCTCCAGAATTCACTCACTGAGCTACAGAGGCTGCACTAGCACTGACTAGCTCTGAGTCCCCCCTCTCTTTGCTCTCTGCGTTATGTCACTCCCCCTTCAGAGCACTACCACAACACAATAAACATGCGTCCCTCTAATAAAACACATTGCTTCAGTTTTGCCAAGTTGTTGTGTACAGTTTTGTTTCATGCTTTTGTATATTTATGGAGAATTGTCATGTGGGAGCATGGATGAGGTTTGTGAGCTGAGCTTTGGACAGAATCTAACAATAAACCGTAAGCCCAGTTCGAATAGGACCTGGGAGAGATCGCTAGATTACTCAAACATGCATGGATGACCTACAAAAGCTCTTCAGGCATGTTTTTGATAAGGGAACAATGTTATAAGGTGCGTAGAAAACTCCAAAATCCCTAATATATTTTTGGTAGTATTCTTACCAGTGAATGCACTTGCTTACATGAGTCTCTCACAGCACCCTTGGGCCCCCCGTCCCCCTGTCACCGCGGAGACAGTCAAACAGATTTGTGCTGTTGTTTATGCTGCACAAAGAGGACTGAGGATGTGTGCAATCGCTATGGAGACAGCTGCAGCATCTGGTCCGGACTTAAACCAGACCAGATGTGCTCCGCCTGGGATTAAGGGCTTTCCTGTGATGCAACAAACCAAATCAGGACTAAATCAGGACTAAATCAAGACTAAACAAGGGCCAAACTAGGGCTAAATCAAGACTAAACCAGGACTAAAGCAGGAGTAAGACAGGACCAAACCAGGAATAAATCAAGACTAAACCAGGACTAAACCCGGAATAAATCAAGACTAAAACAGAACCAAACCAAGACTAAATCAGGACCAAACCCAGAATAAATCAAGACTAAACCAGAACCAATCCAGGACCAAACCCGGAATAAATCAAGACTAAACCAGAACCAAACCAAAACTAAACCAGGACCAAACCAAGACTACACCAGAACTAAACCAGGACCAAACCTGAAATAAATCAAGACTAAACCAGAACTAAACCAAGACTAAACAAGGACTAAACCAGGACCAAACCCGGAATAAATCAAGACTAAACTAGAACCAAACCAAGACTAAACCAGGATTTAATCAGAACTAAACCAGGACTAAACCATATTACTTGAGTAACAGTTTTATAGTAAAGTTTTGGTTACTTTTACTTTTACTTTTCATTGTCTATAAGTGAAGGCTTTGTTGAGAATATCCTTTGAAAGTTTTTTTTTTTTTTTTGTCTGTCCAATTACATTAACTTTAAACTATACATCAGACGTTACAACCCAACAGTTACTCCTTAATTTACTCTTATTTGAGTAGTACATTTACTCTTACTTCAGAAATTTCTTGGAGCACTACTTTGTACCTCTACTGTACTTGAGTAACTCTACTTAAGTAATTTTGCTCTTACTTGAGTAAACTTTTAACAAATAACATTAGAGTCTAAAAAATCTTCAAGGATTTTTGCCAAAAGATAGTTCAGAAATAGGCCCAAACAAGGACTAAATCATGAAAAATTAGGACTAAACCAGGACTAAACCATATTACTTGAGTAACTTGAGAAATTTCTTGGACCACTACTTTGTACTTCAGGTTGTGTAATATTATTTTGCTCTTACTTGAGTATACTTTTTGGCTACTCTACCCCCCTCTGTATGTTTGGTTTGGCTCAGTCACTGTACATTTTTCGCATTTCTCTCACCACAGCCCTGAGCTCTCGTCAACATTCAAGATACGCACCCACTGTGTCCTCCAGGTGACCTCTAAAACTGGAGTCATGAAATTTGTTAATTAAGAGTTCTCTTACATAAAAAATGACTTTTAAAAATCGATTTTGTAACCATGTTGTATTGATTCTTCCTCAGAGCTGGAGATGGCTGATTCATGCACGTTTGAGTAATCCTGTGTTGTCTTGCATTTAAGGCTTGAGTGCTCAGGAAATGTGTTTATTTATTCTATTTTCTGTATTTATTTGGTCATATTTTTGTTCAGTTCATTACTGTAGTTTGTTACAGATTTAATTTGTGATTTAAAAAAAAAGTACTAGTAACAGTAAAAGTAATCGTAAACATTTACATTTTCCAAAAAGACAAAAACATCTGCATAAGTCATCTTAACATCCCAATTTGTAGTATTTATGTTTTGGATGACTGTCCTTACCTGACCTCTCCTCTCTGTTTCTTCTGCATTACAGCACTTCTGGTCGTGCAATCGAGTCGACTTTGTTTTGAAGCGCTGCCAAAAATTCAACAATGCCCACACACTGAAAGGGAAAAAATCTCTTATGAGACACAATCAACCTGGAAATATGTGTTTATTTTGTGGTTAAAATCTGGATTCTACTTGTACAAAAAACACTAGCTCAAACCACCTCTCATTTTTTAACTGTCAGATTGTGGTTAAAAGATTGTATTGTGGAATATAATCTATATATC